CACAAGATCGGTGGCATGTCAGGACTCGAACCCGGGGCCTCTGGTTCCGAGTCGAGAACTCTGCCGCTACGCCAAACGACCCCACACACTATTGACTATTTTGCTGGAGCTTATGAAGCTCGCACGACACCAGACAGACTTGTTTAGTATTTACAGTGCAAGAATCGTCTTTGACTAAGGGGGGGGGGATTCTTCCCACCGCTTGAGGGGACCTCGAGCGCCGAAGGCGCAAGGTTCCTAAGGGGGACCGTCCGGGCGCATGCTCTCTCGGAAAATATTGAAAAATGAACCTTCTAAAATGGCATTTCGTGCATTTTTCAGAGGATTTCCACGAAAAAAATCAGAGATGAATTTTTATTCAATGACAAAGGGAGCAGTTTTTCTACGATTCCAGTCCATAATATTCTTTTCAAGAAAAATCTTGGACCTTTACATAAAAAGTGGACCAAAAAGAGCCTTGTGCGGGGGTTCTTCCGAACCCCCCGAACCCCCCTGGCTACGGGCATGATTCATGAGGTTTATTTGAAGTAAAAGTTTCAAGACAGGAACAAGTCAGATGAACATATGGAGAAAAAAATTGTTTCTGTTAGATCTAGACTCCTTAAACATAAAGTAGGTTAACAAAATTCCGAATGTATTTATATGTTGGGCAATCTGTTAAACTGCCCAGTAGCAAGTTTGAAGTTTGAACGGCTACAATGGGAGCTTAAGATTCTACGGCCCCCAACTGTAGAATAACTTGTCACTTAAACAACGCCAGACAGTGGGGCTGGTACAATTCAGTCAGGAATTGTGATGCTATAGTGTATAGTGGAAAATGAGTGAGTTCCTTTGTTGTATGTCATTTTGAATTATGTCTTTTTTTCTTGTAATGTATAACGTTTGTCAGCTATTTGTATTTCGTATGCCCAGCACTACCTGAAAAACAGTTTTTTTAATGTAACCTGAGTGTATTTTGCTGGTAAAAAAATAAATGAAATGAAATCTATCAATGCAATTTGTAAGTCATCGTATCGTTATTTTAATCACACAGTCATAAACCATTAATAAGTCATATTAGTCATAAACTATGATAATTAACTATAGTTTCTTTTGTTCAACTGACAAAGAAAGAGGGGTCGGGAGAGACAGATTTTTCAAATAATCTATACATTTTAAGATTTAAAAATGTTACGTGTTGTGCAGGTTTTGAGCTTAAATCTTCAGTGCGATATGTTGAAAAAGAATAGCTAGTCGGATAAAAAAATGTATATTTAAAACTTACAGATTAAAACTTTCCTAAAACGAGTAAGGAACAGGGTCATCTACATGTACTACATTCTCTGATCTTCGTCATAAAATCCACGGTCATGCATCTAAAGTGTCATCTTTTAAGACTAAACGCTGGGATGATAATATTATAACATTATAACATTAGGCCACAGCAAGTAATTTTTATGGATGACATCCGCGCGCGCATTAATTTTCGCCTGATTTTGAAAAAAAAAAAAACAAGAAATTTTGTTGCCCTCTGACAGTGGTCAACATGCCGAAAATGGGCAAAGATGTCTGTTGCCATGCCGGGAGGCAGATAACTGAAGAAAGGAGACAAGAAAAGGCTCTGATTTAATGTTTTGTTTCTTACTTTGATGCAGTGATTTGTGATGCTGGCTGTACACATGACGTTCGCATTGAATAAAAACCATTTGTACAAAATGTACAATGATTGAGTCAACATTTTAAAATGTAGGAACCTTTTTTTCGCCCGCCTTGTTTTTTTTCGCCCGCTCGCATTAGATTTGGAGTCGGCAGAGGATGTCATACATAAAATTTACTTGTTGTGGCCTTATAACATTTCCCCGTTGTAGATCCTACTATTGTTTTGAACACGATTACAACTTTGCTGTTCAAGGTAGATTCGTTATATTAAGAATCATTGGCTCAAATTACACTAGGCTGAAATGTAAAGTACTAACAGATATGCACCGCACATTTTACTCGACATTTGTTTCATTTCTTGCACACAATAGATGTTTTAAAGCGCACTGCAAATATACAGCGAAGTTTGTTTTTTTCCACGCTCGGTGAAAGTCCACAGATAAGGGTAGAATACTATCGCCATGAATGATCCAGAGAATACGGAACAAACATCGATTTTAATTTTGCACGCAGTCCGGGCCCATATTGTCATAGAAGTCTTAAATATTTCCCAGTGTTTCGTGCTGTGTGTTAGAACGGACCCGAGGAACAATAGCTACTGTCTTGTACATGTATGCTAAATGTGGATCCTACTAAAGTAAAATCAAGCCGTCGTTGACATCTCTTTGCTGCACGGTCCCCTAAATACTGTCAGTCAGCGTACATGGAGCCTCACGCACGCTGCCATGCCCGAGTGTCTTGCCAGAGGGCGCTCGCACATGCCTCTTCCCCTTGGCCGCCTTGGGAGGCGGAGTAGGAACGCCCATCTGCGGAGGACAGACGTTCAACAACATTAGAGTTATGAAATAAAGACTGAACTTTAACTTCCAACACTAGATATAGAATTGGGATTTACCCCAAATTTTCGGTTGACTCCATCAACCTTGTTCACGGAATGGTCCCGTCTACTCTTGGAACGTGACGTCAGAGACACGTGACCGTAGTAGCGGGTCATACGTGCCAGATAACTTGTGTCGCCCCCCGTCTCTGTTCAGGGTAGGTCTGTGAGCTCTTATGAAGACTGCCTCATTAACCCCTCTACTTATGACCCGCTACTACGGTTACGTGTCTCTGACGTCACGTTCCAAGAGTAGACGGGTCCATTCCGTGAACAAGGTTGATGGAGTCAACCGAAAATTTGGGGTAAGTCCCAATTCTATATCTACTGTTGAAAGTTAAAGTTCAGTCTTTATTCCATAATGATTTGTACCAACACAGATTAACTTTCATGCTAACATTAGAGTTTATCATAAAAGTTCACCCGTGTTGGCAGCTACATGTTTAGAGTTAAAACTTTAGATCAAACACAAAGAAGTTCTCTCACGTAGAGCTTTCGACTAGCCAGTCTCGTCTTTCTCAGTAGACTGACCCTTCACTTAAACGCGACGGGGGCCGACATCGTCTACAAGATACCTTTGACCCAGTGTTGACGTCACACTTCAAAGAAGCCATGTGACAAGTCTCACTGGGTCAGTCTAAACATGAAAGTTAATGCCCAAAATACATGCCCAAGGGCTTACTGCAAATACAAACAACGTGTAAGTAAAAGAAGATACAAGGATATGAGGGACTACGTGACACTCTACAACATACGTGATGATAATTTTGTTGGGTCTGACTTCTTCTTTCCAGGCAGTGTCAGACAAATTTACCCACTCCGTCTTTAATATGTGGATTCTTTGATTTCGATAACATGAAACAACTTTCTAGAAACAAAACTTTTCTAGATACCCCCTCGATCAGAAATGGAAATAACTTTTGTGTACAAATCCCAAGAAGTTGTAGAACACAGAATGCCTTCCTCCACAGAGCCACCCTTTTATGGAACTCCCTCCCAGTTGACATACGATCTGCCCCTACGCTGTTTTCTTTTAAAGCCAAAGTATGGAAATCGCTTGGGGATCCATATTCTGTTTAACACACTACTTCTGTATCAGTATATAGAACAGGAGCTTTCAGACTAATTTGCATCATTTTGTCTTGGTTTGTCTGACTTTTGTTCCTTTTTCGACTTCCAAAAATTTGTCTTCACTTTATTTGCATATCAATCAATAGGTTGTGCTTATAAACCTGCATTTCCCCTCTGGTCTCTCAGTCACTGACGAAAGCTAGTGGATACTAGCTGAAACGTCTGACGTTTTCAAAATCATATCCAGTTGCTTGAGTAACTACTTTTTGGCGTAATTATGGCTTTATACTAAATAAATAATTCAAAACGATAGTTGACCAGTTTGTCGATAGAACTTGTTGAAACTATTACATCGAGGAAGGGGGAGGGGGTGGTCCTACGTCATATCCGTGATCTTTACTAGACATTATGGGAAGTGTGAAATTGGTGAATAGTTACCGGCAGACAGGCTGCATCTGGCACGATGGCCTCCTCCGGGATGTCCTCCCGTGCGCATGCGCGGATGTCCTCCCCGTCCGGACGGTGCCGCTCCACGGTCGTGTAGGGAGGCAAGGTGGTGGCGTGCGCATGCGCCAGTCCTGGGGAAGATCAGTCCAAGCATCACATAGAAATCTATGACATCATGACTACCACATCTACGAGGTAAGAGTACCTCTTCATCAGTTCCGTGGCTCACTTACATATTTATGCGTGGGAGGGAGATGGACTGAAATATGCTGTATTTGCTCCCAAGCAAATGTCGGCCTTTCTAGTTCATATTTGGGTTACATTAAATGTTTCTTGGCTATCATGAAAGTTTACCTGTGTTGGTACACATGTAGTTACATGTTTAGAATTAAAACTTTTGATCCAACGCAAAGCTTGTCAAAAGCTCTTGGTGACAGAACTTTTTGCGCTGGATCAAAAGTTTTAACTTTAAACAAATGTTTCTTGATTTAGCTTCTGTGGCAAAACTACTTATTAAGTGAATTGCCCCAAAGTAGGATGTATAGTGTCATAGTGTATTTAATTAATGTATAGTTCAATATGTATGTATGTATATATCTATAGTTCATCTATATATAGTTACATAGTTATGTATAGTTTCCTTTTCTTTGCAATTAGACCTTCAAAATGTATCAAATTGTATCAAATGTATCATCATTGTTAGTATTTGCATACCTGCTATAAGATTGTGTGATAAGAGTGATGTGAAACTTTGTAAGTAAAGCTGTCGAGATTCAAAGTGCTTGTTCTTGCATCTTTGTTCTCAATTACATAGCTACTATATAATTAGTTTATTTGAGAATCTTCCAGTTTTGCTCTGGGGTAAGTTTGGAATAGTCCACTTTTGCGTGGGAGGAAGATGGACTGAAATATGCTGTATTTGCTCCCATGCAAATGTCGGCCTTTCTAGTTATTAAGTGAATCGCACCAGAGTAGGAGAGTCCGACGTTTGTCCACTGTTTGTCCCCCCGAGGCGGCGGACGTGGCTTCAGGGTCCCGTCCAACTCCTGCAGTTCCAGGTCCTCCACACCGGAGTCGTTCGTACCATGGCCCAGCCTCTTCCCGGGCTTCGGCACAGCAGATACGGAGCGGCCCGAGGGCACAGCAGCCAGCGAGCGGGCCGAGGGCAACGGGGGCGGGGCTGGAATTTTGTGTAAAGAATCAGTTGATTGCAAATCAATCTTTTCGGGATTCGTCTTTGCAGCCTGAAATAGGACTTAGACTTCTCTTTACCAATCGGCCATCTCAATGAGGTACGCTATTTCAAACACTTGTGGCTAAGGCCCCATTCCCACTAGGATAAAATTGTCTGAATCGGGCCAAATTAATTCTCTTCTTTGATCCTTCTCCGATCCGACTAGATCCGACTCGGACAAAGCGAATCAATTAAGCTTGATTTAAACAATTTTATCCTAGTGGGAATGGGGCCTATAAGTATCTGTAGCTGTCTCGTTGTAAATGACATTTCCAGGGGTGCCAGAGTATACAGTACCATTTTACGGAATACAGTGCAATTTTACTAGTATTCAGTGCAATTTTACGGAATACAGTGCAATCGTATTAGAATACAGTGCGAATTTACGGAATACAGTGCAATTTTACTAATGACGTTGAATCACGTGACTTGGACCCTGCTTTCCTTGAGTTTCAAGATGGCGGACGCCGCTGACTCACATGTTTCTGTCTTTTTCGGGCGAAAATGATCCCTGTGTAGTAACATGTGTAGTTTAAGTGTGATTTCAGCCGTTAATACCTCGCTTCTTTTCCCTGCAGATCCACCGCTTCTTCACCGCAACGCAGACGAGAATTCCCGCCAAAATGCCCAGGCCAGCCGTCGCCATGGAGACGCAGATGATGACCAGTGATCCACTGTTGTCTGTTGACAAGGATCGTGTGAGTCACCCGATGCACATAGCGTTTACAGTAGGAACTGGATAACGGTGTTCACCACAGTCAATATATACTAGTTTGCCCTAGATTACTAACTGTCTCTGGGTATAATCTCCAAGCAGACCATACGGTGGCCAGGCAGTGTCCATTCACCAATTTCACACTTCCCATAATGCCTAGTAAAAGTCACGGATATGGCGTAAGACCACCACCCCTCCCCCTTCCTCGATGTAATATTTCCAACAAGTTCTATCGACAAACTGGTCAAATATTGTTTTGAATTATTTCTCTAGTATAAAGCGCATGCCATAATTGCATTTTTGTTGGAATTAGAGAAAATGACGTACCTTCTACCGTTCTACCTTCAACCGAAGACTCTCCTACTCGCACGGTCGCATTACGTATAAAGTTATTAGAAAGATAGAAGGTACGTCATTTCTCTAATTCCAACAAAAAATGCAATTATGGCATGCGCTTTATACTAGAGAAATAATTCAAAACAATAGTTGACCAGTTTGTCGATAGAACTTGTTGGAAATATTACATCGAGGAAGGGGGAGGGGTCACGTCATATCCGTGACTTTTACTAGGCATTATGGGAAGTGTGAAATTGGTGAATTGGCGAGAGGAGTGTCCATTAGCCACCGAAGGAGGCCAATGGATATTGTCTGGCTAATGGACTCTGCCTGGCCAATTTGATACTGGCTTTTGCGGCCACCGGAAGATCTGCTTGGATAATATCTGGGCACTCCCGGTTTGGATAAAACGTATTCTCATCAACAAATGTAAAAGAGTGAAAAAAATTCGGTTTTAGTCTCTTTAATTGGCACATGACATATTCTCTATTGTTACTGCCCTAGGCTAGCTGATAATTTTTATGGTCAAAGGTTTAAACGTGTACCATATATATAGACACCAGTTATTAATTTTTAAAACCACAAGGCGAGAAAATTTCATTATGAAAAACTTAAACTGTTGTATATGGCCTCTAAGATGCATAAAAGAGGACATATACATCAGGGCCCTTCAACCATCGCTCAACCGGGACGGGGGGCGATATCGACTTCAGACAACCTTTGACCCTTTACTGACGTCACACTTGGGAAAAATCACGTGTCCACAGCATTTGGGACAGATAGCTGAGGAAGACTGAGCGATTCAGTCGAAAATTTCTGGTGAGTCAAATTTTGAGTTGGAGAACAGTTTAAGTTTTTCATAATGTAATTTACCAACTCAGATGAACTTTCATGCGAGAAAATTTCCTTTACCAAAAACCTGCAGTCGGATCTCCCTCCGAGCCTCCCCGAACATGTTGGCAGCCTGACAGATGTACGTCCCTTCCTGAGATTTCCCGACATCCTTCAGGAGGAGGGTGCTGGAAGTCCCGTCATCCACCTGGCGACAGAATTCCGCTCTGACATAAACCTAACTTTCACTTTGTTTTCAAAGTATGATTGGCACACATTACTTTCTACCTCGCCACTTAACATTTATTATCTATTTACCAAAATGTGTACCTTAACGGTGCACCCCCCAGTCCGCCATAGTCCGTGGTAAAAAAGTGACAAAAGGGTTTTGAGGGTCCAAGTTTGAGGTGACATTTCTCATAAACTGTCACGAAATATCATTAAACATCAACATGGCTGAAGAGTGTAAGAAATGGTGATTTTGGGGTGAAAACTTCTACCTTACTTCCGGGTATCCTTGCGCGCCAAGTGTAATCCGCCCGCTTGACCTAGATTTCGCTCTGCACCTTCCTAGGAGTGAATTTGCAATTTCCTAGAGTGATTTTACAAAACTTAAAAAAGTTGAAGAAACCAAACTCAGCTGTTCTTGTAGCTGAAGAGATAAACTTTCGTCCCATATACAGTTATTCTCCTTCCTAATTATTCCACGGCAGAGACGGTCGCTAGATATGAGGGTGTGCAGCTTCGAATTGAAATCCCGAATAAACTGGGGTGTGCACCCTTAAGCTAAGCTACGGTGAATCATTTGTTTTGGCCACCAATAACCTTAACAGATATTTTCCTATGGTGAAAGAGGAGCTAAGTTAGTGTACTTCTATCGATTATATTTAGGTTATGATATTTCTTGTCAAAGCGTGAAAAAGTAACTTAAAGGTGCCCTACTGGATTCTCAGTGATTGACACGCCCACTTCTGTCGCCATGACAACGGTTTCCTCGCCCCTACTGCGCATGCTCTGCCGGAACCAGCTGACTCGGCCCGGCAGCGGGTCCGCGAGAATCTCGCAGTGAAATCTCGCGGTGTTTCCCGCGGCCACCGTCACCGCTGACTGGCCCCGCTGGATGGATGGCTTACCTGATACATGATGGAAAATAACCTTTTTCAGACATATTGAGCGGCATTTCTGACATGCACCAGGCTGTCTTCAATGGCCCGCGTGAGCGTATCTATGACAAATGATTGCCAGGGTCATTTTTAGTACAAGCTTTTATGGTCTGCAATTTTCAAAGAGATTAAAAGTGGCAAAAAACAATTAAGGTAAAAGCTAAGAGGACGTGTACATATTAGACTGGAAGGCAATCCTGGGCGTGAGGCAATGTTTCACCGACCTACGACGTCCACGTAGACGTCCTTGGTGACTTCCTGGAAGCCGTCGCTGGCAGCCACGCATTGATACGTGCCCTGCACGTCGTAACGCACCCGGTGGAAGCGGAGTGGGTTGTCCCAGTACAGACTTGTATCCTTCCGCCGCCAGCGGATGTGAGGTTTGGGGTTCCCGTCAGCGAGACACTGCAGAGACTGATCGTCCTGTCCGTACAGCATCGTCACCTGGTCCTCCATAGTAGCCTCTATCACAGGAGGGTCTGTCAGGGGAACACAACAACATTTCATATCTATTATCCTGGCCGTACAGCATCGTCACCTGGTCCTCCATAGTAGCCTCTATCACAGGAGGGTCTGTCAGGGGAACAAACCAACATTTCATATCTATCCTCCTGGCCGTACAAAATCGTCACCTGGTCCTCCATGGTAGCCTCTATCACAGGAGGGTCTTTCAGGGGAACAAAACAACATTTCATATCTATTATCCTGGCCGTACAGCATCGTCACCTGGCCCTCCATAGTAGCCTCTATTACAGGAGTGTCTGTCAGGGGAACAAACCAACATTTCATATCTATCCTCCTGGCCGTACAAAATCGTCACCTGGTCCTCCATGGTAGCTTCTATCACAGGAGGGTCTGTGGAACAAACCAATATTTCATATCTATCCTCCTTTCCGTACAAAATCGTCACCTGGTCCTCCATAGTAGCCTCTATCACAGGAGGGTCTGTCAGGGTCTGTCAGGGTCTGTCAGGGGAACAAACCAACATTTCATATCTATCCTCCTTTCCGTACAAAATCGTCACCTGGTCCTCCATGGTAGCTTCTATCACAGGAGGGTCTGTCAGGGGAACAAAACAACATTTCATATCTATTATCCTGGCCGTACAGCATCGTCACCTGGTCCTCCATGGTAGCCTCTATCAGAGGAGGGTCTATCAGGGGGATAAAACAACGTTTTGATGTTAAAAAAAAACTTTTCTCAATCTGGACGGGGGGCGGTACCTACTTCCGACGAACTTTGACCCAGTGCTGACGTCACATTTGGGTAAAAATCACGTGTCTACAGCACTCGGGTCAGATAGCTGACTAAGACAGAGTGATTCGGTCAAAAATTCCAGGTTGATCATTTTTCTTGAGTTGGAGAACAGTTTAATCTCATTATATATCCCAAAAGGCATCATATATGATTCCTTGGTATAGTCTTACAGTAGACCTGTAGGGTGACAGTCCCGGTTCCCTTTGGGAGGACCCCGTTGTTGGCGTCACAATGGTACAGTCCGCCGTCATGCCGGGACACCTTCGGCAGGTGCAGCACGTGGTCCCTGCAGGGGAGACATTTGGGGCAATTAAAACTGTAACAAGTAAAATCTGAGATTTTATACTTCCGGCTTTTTATTGTATATTTTTATATGTTGCTTGTTATGTATAGTTGATGGTGTTGAATTTTGTGCACAACAACAATTGTTGCGCACCGCAGGACTAGGGGTTTAAACTAAGAATTTATCGAGACCGGACACCCCTCTGTGCGAGGGGTCATATACGTGGACCAGACCGAGAATATTTTAAACACGCCACAGGTCAACGGTCGCGACCATTTTCACGGTCAAAGGGGTGTTCTGGGGCCACAAAAAGGCACCATTTTCACGCCCAAAACACATTTACAATAAAAACAAAAGAACGTGCACCATCTACAGCCCAATAGCAAAACATACACCGAGTCCCCAAAGAATCCGTCCACCCAAACGCGAGAAACAGCTGCGAACATGAAAATCTAAATCTCTTACAAAACCCTTCCGCGGAAGGATGTCCCCTTCCCCGGAGGTAACAATGTTCAAACATTTGTAGCCAATGCAAACTGCAAACTAAAACAGTACTCACATCAAGGGGAGGCATTTGTAGCCAATTAAAATTGAAAACTGCAACGACACTCACATGAGAAGGAAACATTTTTAGACCAAGCGAAAAAGGTAACTCTCATGCGCTTAGCTCTTATCTTTTGGGATGGACACAGATTCTATGGCAGGATTGTCCAAAATGCGAAACGAGCCAGCTTTAAAGATTCTTTACTGACACAACAAAAAAAGTACAGGAACTTTTGTATGGTCTAAGGCAAACATGCAACATGAGTCACCTGGTCACTCAGTGTCTTATCAACCTGATGAAACTATTCACGGAAACATGCAACATGATTATTTTTTTACTTTTATTTTTTATTTATTCCAACATGTAATCACCAGACGTGGTGACGACACACTCAAGTTTCTTCAACTTATATTAATGCCGCCACCAACACAGGGGACAAATACATTACAGGACAATACTCATTTACACCTGAGCTAAGGAAAGTCGTGTAAAGTGCACCGATCTTGTGCCCTTTCCCAAGGGCACAAGATCGGTGGCATGTCAGGACTCGAACCCGGGACTCTTAGTTCTTAGTCGCGCACTCTGCCGCTACGCCAGACGACCCCACATGCAACATGATTTCTGAGCCTCAGCAATGCTTTACATCCTACCTCATCATGTTGAGTATCGGGATGGCGCCTCCGACTTTCCGCCATGTTACAGTGGCTTTAGGGTTGCTGTCCACCATACAGCTGAGACTGGCCGGCTCGCCCTCTCTCACGTGGACGGACGGACTGGGCACCGACACCGCCGGGGGGTCTGCGGACCAGATTCAACAGCCATTATATACTAGTACCATATAAGGTAACATAGACCACCGGGGGTCTGCGGACCAGATCCAACAGCCATCATATACCATATAAGGTAACATGGACCACCGGGGGGTCTGCGGACCAGATTCAACAGCCATTATATACCATATAAGGTAACATAGACCACCGGGGGGTCTGCGGACCAGATTCAACAGCCATCATATACCATATAAGGTAACATGGACCAGCGGGGGGTTTTCGGTAGTAAAAAGTTTGTTACTGTAGTTTAATGAAATGCAGCGTTCATCTGGCAAAAGTTCTGCCAAAAATTTGTACATGAAGCCAGGAATGGTTGTATCCGGGATTTTTAGAAGGCAGATTTTCTATTTATTTTAAAGCCTCACACTGGACCCTGAGTATCCTGGAATTCTCACATTCAGGTTTATGTATCTGTATGAAAACATGTGCCTCACACTTGACCCTGAGTATCCTGGAGGAGGCTTTGGGCCTGGCGAGTTGGGGGAAGCCCTGGTCGGCCCGGCAGGTGAAGTTGGCGCCGTGATCCCATTTCGTCACCCGCGGCAAAAACAGCTCCAGGCTCTGGTCTTCAGTCGACACGCTGGCATCTCTGAAAATGGTTATATAATGAGATAAGCTTGGTTTTATATTTGCGCATGGTACATTTACAGTGTACATGAATATCTACCGTTATTTTGGTAGGAAGCATCATCGTATCCAGAACCGTGACTAACTAGTTCTATACCTGAATGGGTTAGAATCAGGCACTTTTCTGGATAGTCTCTGCGTATCTAGAACGTGCCTATCTAGTTCTATGGGTTGGAGTTAGAATCAGGCACGGTTGTAGATAGTCTCCGCGTATCTAAGAAATTAGATTTGCCCCAGGCTCGGTTCAGGATACGCGTGGACTATCCGGAACCACGTCTAAGCACGGTTCTGGATAATCCTGAATAATTCTAAAGTATTCCGTACCTGAAGCGGTGTGTCCCGTTGAGCCAGGTGAGTCGCGGCGCGGGGTGCCCACCTGACGCTCGGCAGGTGAGAGACAGCTGATCACCTGACGTCAGCGGAAGTTCGCCTCCCTTCACTGCGGGGGGTCCCGTCATGGGAACTGGAGCAAAACCATAAATATGGCAACTTTTCCTAAATTAAAACATTTTTTCATATTGTTTAAAATTAAAACTTTTGTTCCAACACAAAAAATTCTCTCATCTAGAGCTTTCGACCAGTCACTCTAGTCTTCCTCAGTAGACTGACCCAGTGAAGCTTGTCAAGTGGCTTCTTTGGAGTGTGACGTCAACACTGGGTCAAAGTTGAATTTTTTATGTTGGAACAAAAGTTTTAACTTTAAACATGTAACTACCAACACAGATGAACTTTCATGAGGGGATTTTTTTCATCTCAATTGGAAATATAATTTTCTGATGCACAATATCGTACTAATTATGACACAAAGGGCTAAATGTTCTTGCCAACACGAAAATTTGATTAAGTCCCAATTTACTCAGTGTTGGCAAGAACGTTTAGCTCTTTTTGTTATAATGAAGTATACTAACACAGATGAGCTTTCATGCTAATATAGTACTAACATTTTTAATAGAATGATTATTTTATAAAGTATTACGTTTGTACATTCTTAACTAGAATTCCGAGATCTCATACCTCCATGAAATATGATCTTGATATGTAAATGTAAATTTCTTCTTTTATTGTGCAAATGACCTCTGCATTAACATGATATATGCATCGTGATGTATGTTAACTTTTGATTAACTTACAGATGTCCCAAGTATGACATTCTCATCATTCACCATTACGAAATCATACAATTTTCGCATTAATTATGCAAATTAGGTCATCATTTGCATAATTAGTATCTGTTGAAGTTCCGCCTGCCATAGGTTACATACATTTACATGTATGTAAGTAGTATAATGTAAAACACTGTAATTATAGAATTTCCTCATTAATTATGCAAATAAAGTCCTCATTTGCACAATTTGCAATTAATTATGTAAATCTCTCTCTCAGCTACCTACACACCAAAAATAATGAAAATATGTTGTTCCTGTCAGGACTTATTGGCTTTTAAACATTTCGCCAGAAAGTGCCCTGCAGTTCCAGAACAAGCCGCTAGGGGAAGCAATCTCATAAGACTTCTTCCCAAGCACGAGAGCTACCTTCCATCAAAATTTCATGACCTTAGCATGTCCAGATCGCGAGATATCAAAACCGGAAGTTGCGCTGCAGTACCAAAGGAAGCCACTAGGGGGACCAAAATCTAATCATTTCTAGTTTTCGTCACACCCTACCAACACACTAAGTATGAAACCAATCCATCCAGGCGTTCTTGAGTTATCTTGTTGACCAACAGACAGACAGACAGACGGACAGACGTACAGACGGACAGATAAACGCAACTGAAAATATAACCTCCATGACACATTTCATGGAGGTAATTAAGAAGTGAACACATGCACCCATTATGTGTCTAATAGTGTCCCAGGTTTGTATCCGGAACCGTGCTTTATCCAGAACCATGACCAGGCACCTCCGATTCTGGATAGTCCACGTTTCTCCAGAACCGTGCCTGGGGCAAATCTATGTTCTTGGATACGTGGAAGCTATCAAGAACCGTGCCTGATCCTAACCTAAACCCATTCAGGCATAGAAATAGATGGGATGGTTCTGGAGACCATAACCGATGTTCTCATGTAATACCAATAGACACTTCACCTACCAACAACAGTTAAGACTTTACACCTACCAACAACAGTTAAGACTTTACACCTACCAACAACAGTTAAGACTTTACACCTACCAACAACAGTTAAGACTTTACACCTACCAACTACAGTTAAGACTTTACACCTACCAACAACAGTTAAGACTTTACACCTACCAACAACAGTTAAGACTTTACACCTACCAACAACAGTTAAGACTTTACACCTACCAACTACAGTTAAGACTTTACACCTACCAACAACAGTTAAGACTTTACACCTACCAACAACAGTTAAGACTTTACACCTACCAACAACAGTTAAGGTCCTGCACCTACCAACAACAGTTAAGACTTTACACCTACCAACAACAGTTAAGACTTTACACCTACCAACAACAGTTAAGACTTTACACCTACCAACAACAGTTAAGACTTTACACCTACCTACAACAGTTAAGATGGCGTCAGCTGCAGACTTTGGGTCCGTGTAGCAGCTGTATTTCCCGTCATCCTCCAGTTTTACCCCCGTGATCTCCAAGTTGTACTCCCCGCGGGAGGCGTCTCCCGTGATCCTGTGCCGTCTGTAGACCTGTGTACATACATTCACATGTAATAGTACCGCAAGTTGGAGTTTGATTTATTGAAATTGTAACAATACAATACATGTGAGACAAAGACAGCTGTTGCTGATGTTGTGTTCTACACATAGAAACGAATACGGGACAGACAATACTCATTTCACTGTCACCGTGCTCATTTTCACTTGGGTAAAGTGGGGAAGGTTATGTAAAGTGCCTTTCAAAGGGGCACAAGATCGGTGGCATGTCAGGACTTGAACCCGGGACCTTTTGGTTCCGAGCCGAGCACTCTGCCGTTACGCCACACGACCCTACAACTGATTCACGATGACTGTACGTCTATGGCCGTGTTTATGTGAAGTCAGTGAAGGCGCTTTACACGTGGTTTACCCCGAAGCCGGTTCCAAGTGGCTCCATCTGAACACTCCAAATCACATTGAAAGCGCCTCGATCCCAAGCCACTTCTAGAGCTAGAGGTGGTTTCGAATCGGTTTTCCCGCATCGCGATTTGCGTCTGAACGCAATGTGATTTCAATGTAACTTCACTTGGTCATGGGTTACGGGGTGATATTTCTTTATTTTATATGCAATACCAACTTTTACACGGCAGCAACTTAAAGAGTAGTAATAGTCAAATAATGTCTCCGTTCTAGGACGAGCTTCACCGCCTCTGGCGGGACCACGTCGATATTATCATTCGGCCGAGGTATGCTGGGAGGGGGCATCAGCAAGCAGGTCGTTGACCTCTGACAATAATGATACGCTACCTAGCGTGTTTTCATCAAACAACAATAAATGTAGTTTCGGAGAATCGTGATCGGGCACGTTTTAAAAGGAATGTGTGGCACGTGGACCAGATGTGAGGAATGTGAGTTACCCGAATTGCGGTTTGGGTGACTTCTCATAAACACGGCCTATGATAATAACCATGAGTTATACAAGGTATCATGTGAATATCTAAATTCATTGAGCCAAACTGTTTAATCTAATCTGTCGCTTCAGACGTGATTGTAACTTGTATTAATGACCCTCCTACGGATGATTTATGATGTAAACAAGCATCGAAATTCAGCCTTGCACGTCACGGCTGCCAGTCATGCTGTTGTTGATACAAATAAACCAATAAACAAAAACAAAAACCTTGGGGACAGTTCGGCCAAACGCGATGGTCCTATCGTCAACTCCGCCCTCCCAGAACACTATGTCGTCTTCCGCCAGCCCGTCGAACGCGCACGACAGCGTCACAGTTTGCCCCTGCAGAACCGCAGTCGGCTGTGGCCTGGTGCGGTAAGATGCGCCGGCAACTGGAAAAAAATGCAGATATCTTAGCATAAAAGTTCATCTGTGTTGGTACAAGTCATCATGACATCAAGACTGAACTTTAACGTCCAACACTAACTACAAAAAATTGGGACTTACCCAAATTTTTACAGACCTACCTTGAACAGAGACGGAGGGCGACACAAGTTATCTAGCACGTATGACCCGCTACTATGGTCACGTGTCTCTGACGTCACGTTCCAAGAGTGGACGGGTCCATTCCGTGAACAAGATTGATAGAGTCCAACGAGAATTTGGGGTAAGTCCCAATTTGTTTGCAGCTAGTGTTGGACGTTAAAGTTTAGTCCTGATTTCTTAAGTGCAGATATCGTTGAAGAGGTTTATCAGTCACTTATAGTTCAACACTTAGTAGAATATTCATCAATCAGTGACTGTTTTAAGAGGTAGCAAATACCATATCTCCAAATTTGCGACGTCCACTGTACGTCTCGATCTAGTCTCGTCCTCTCGCGTGACTAGGTCACTCCGTGATCAAGACGTACAGTGGACGTAAAAAAAATTAAAGGTATGGTGTTTGAGACCTCTCAAAACAGTCACTGGTTGATGAATATTCTGCTGCAATACCTAGAAAAGCCGCCAGGGGGGACGCCAAAATCTAATCATTTCTAGGTCTCATGAAGACCTACCCACCTACCAAGTTTCATTCCAATCCATCCACTGCTTCTCGAGTTATCTTGCTCAACCACACACCAACATACACACAGACAAACACTACTGAAAACAAGGCTACTAACTTTTAAATTCAGATCTCTGTTCAATCTTTGTCGATCTAAGCAGCATCGCAACATCTGGTATACTCCCCTCCGTTGGTATGTTTCCATCGCTGCTCATCCACTCATAAACTTAACCGTCTCTGCTAGCCATGACGACTTATGTCGCAAACACGGCTTATGTCGCAAATCCGGCTAACGTCGTAAAACCGACGCAACATCTGGCTGGTGTTGGGAAATCAATAATATTATCCTTGAGAAATTTCTGTCTTCACATCGGTTTAAAGGGCTGGTATTAGAGTGTTTGAACTGTAGGGATATTTTAAAGCGGCTTCTTCATTTTATTTAATTAGCATTCTGGACACGCTCAATCGCTATTCTCCCTCTTACATATTTTTGGTATTTGGCAGAATTCCGTTTTATACTAAAACCATTGCCTAGGAGCATGCTTTATAACGTTGTAGTTTTGTCCCAGATGCACCACTGTTCACCGTGAGCCAAGGACTTCTGACAGGAGTTATGTGGAACACGTACCGATGCGCGCCAAATGGCCTCACCTCTCTGACACCGTGAAATTTAAGGACCACTTTAACACGCGGGCCGGGCCGGCTGATTGCCTGGATGGCAGTGCTGGAATTGATCCGGTGTTGGGCCATATACACGAGCCTGCCACATACGGGAGAGGTCAGGTGTTTAGGGCTACGGATTGGGTTGGTATTAGGGTTAGGGTGAGGGTTGGTATTAGAGTTAGGGTGAGGGTTGGTATTAGGGTTAGGGTGAGGGTTGGTATTAGAGTTAGGGTTAGGGTTGGTATTAGAGTTAGGGTTAGGGTTGGTATTAGGGTTAGGGTAAGAGCTAGGTTTGGTATTAGAGTTAGGGTTAGAATAAAGGTCAGGGATAGGATTAGGGTTAGAGGAAGAGGGGTTAGGGTTAGGGTTGGTATTAGGGTTAGGGCGAGGGTTGGTATTAGACTTAGGGTTAGAGTTTGTATTAGAGTTTTTTTTTTTATTCCAACATGTAATCGCCAGACGTGGTGACGACACACTCAAGTTTTTTCAACTTATATTAATGCCGCCACTAACACAGGGGACAAATACATGACAGGATAATACTCATTTTCACCTGAGCTAAGTGAGGAAAGTCGTGTAAAGTGCCTTTCCCAGGGGCACAAGATCGGTGGCGTGTCAGGACTCGAACCCGGGACTCTCAGTTCGCGCACTCTGCCGCTACGCTACACGACCCCACGACGCCATTAGAGTTAGGGTTAGTATTAGAGTTATAGGGTTAGGTTTGGTATTATAGTCATGGTAAGTGTTCGTATTATAGTCAGGGTTAGGGTTGGTATTAGGGTTAGGGTTAGAGTTGGTATTAGAGTTAGGGTAAGGGGTAAGGGTTAGAGTTGGGATCATTATTCATGGCTATGGTTTATATAGACTTACGATTGGGGTTAGGTTACATGTAGGTTAGGTTAAGTCTCGACTAAACCCCTCCCACCCCTTGTCTCGAGTATGTTGGGAACCCCCAAGTAGTGTCGGAGTCATGTATTTGGCAGGATCATGTATATGGCTTGACAACGGGATTGATCCGGCCTGCGGCAGACAGGCAGATAAGGGCACTTCAGATCAGTATCAGGGACGACATGACAGCCTGGCGGCCGGTAGACACATTAGGGAGTCCCGTCCCAGCTATGCTGAAACTGTTGAACTCAATGTGAAAGTAACTCTTGACTATAAATAGGTTTAACGCCTTTCCCGCCTTAACTGTTAATTTTGAGGGAGCTCGTCTCTGCAAAATTTGGATACTAGTACCAATGAGGACTTATCAAATCTTATCTTTACTGTAACGTTTTTAAGAACCTTTCGACAAATTACTCTTTTAAGATATTTCAATATTTGTAATAATAGTATGATGTATTTAAGATTTTAAACAATTGTTAAATTTTATCCCTATGTGTGTAAACAGCTGTACAGCCCATTTGTAATCGTAATAATGTTGTATTTTGTAACCAGACCCAACAATTCAGCCGAATGCATCTCGGCTGCCAGTGGGTCCTGGGATTTAGTTGTTCATCAACAATAAACCAGTCTATATAGGGAGAGGCTCGCACTGGAGGGTGTCAGTTCAATTGTTGCGCTGTTACATTTCACCGGCGTCAGCCGAGGAGCATGAGATGTAGCTACCGGCTGTCAACACCTGCAACATCGGGAACATTGCTACTCGCTATAGAAGTAGCAAAAATTAGATCTGAAGGTTGCAATGAAAATCGACCCATCCTTTCAACAGGTTGACAGACTAGTGCATTTCTTGCCAAGCGTCCCTGCCCCGAACCAGTTTGATAATTGCGCTGTTACACCCGTCAAGAGGAGCCATCGGCAGCGCGCATGTTGTACTCTTTATGAATATAGCATAGCGAAACTTAGCACGTACTTGTAGAGGTGTACTAGCTCTTACTCGGTAGTTCTATTCAACATTCGGCCGGACAAAGTACCCGTTGAAGCTATATGTAGGATTTTTCTAGGTCCATACCGGCTAGTAATCTTAATATCTGCCATTATTTCTTGAGTGAATAAAGTCGAAACCGGTCTAATTCCGTCTCATCGTTGTCATTCTCCCATCGCTACGAATGATGCTTAATATCTGCCATACATTGTACCTGTTACAATCGTGGTGTAATAAAATTGGACTTGAACGCTTGATTGTATCCTATAGCTACGGGCTCGCAACTGTCAGCACCTGCAACATTGAGAACATCGCTCGCTACTACAAGTAGCAAAAATTAGATCATACACCCGTCAGCAGAGGAGCCATCGGCAGCGCTCATGTAGTAGTTACCGGCTGTCAACAGCGGGAACATCGGTACTAGGAGTAGCAAATATTAGATCTGATGGTTACATTGAAAATCAACCCATTCTTTCAGCAAGTTGACAGACTAGGATTTGTTCCCAGGCGACCCTGCCTCAAACCGTCACTGATCGATGGCTGCTAAATATAATCTCCAAGCAGATTCTCTGGGTGGCTGCAGTACAATTATAAATTGGCAAGAAAATATCCAAGACTTCCCCCAAGTGGTTACAGGTGGCCAATATACCCCTGTCCGTTTTTAATTGGGGTATAACTAAATAAAAAAAGGAAAACTTTAGGAGAGACACGAGAGTCTTAAGTATTTTCTTTTTTTTTAACCTTTTCAACGGTACAGAGACTTAGACAGAGGAAGAAAGACAGAAAAATTATGTGTCAACCTACACAGAATAGGTTACTGTTCAAGTTCTCCCACCAACCCACTCCTGCTAACCTGACACATCAAAATAAAAATAGAAATTAGAGTTCGGAGTTCTCATGCCTTCGACAGTGTGATATTGTTTTAGTGGGTGTTGTGTGTATGTATAGTGTAGGCTTTTTGAAGATGATTATCGTAGTTATAGTGGTCAGAGAGTCTTTTTGTGAACGAAGCAACATACTATTTACCTAGCCTGTACCATGTCTTTCTACGGAAATACGGATCGTAGAATTCGGCGAAAAGGAAAGGAGAATGGGCCTCCGATGCGCAGCGATCCAAACGTCAAAACGGCAAAAACTCCTTCAACTAGAAAGGCCGGCATTTGCTCAAGAGCAAATACAGCACATTTCATCCATTCTTCCTCCCCATTCCATTCGTAAGAACCCCCCCACGAAGCCCATTTTTGGCCTTGACAATGCCCATCACTAAGACAACCTGCCTACCAAAAATCGTGAACCTCGGACCATGCCTTCAAAATTTATCGTGTATAATCTGCCAAACAGTACCAAATCAATTTCATAGCCTTCTGTCGAAGGCGATTACATAGATGGCAGACATCTTACAACGTAAACCCCGAATCCGCTTGAATTAACCCTACCTAGACCGGGGGGGGGCTAAAAGTGCCCGCGGCAACTTTGATGTCACCTAGCGTCTGAACGGCTAGCCGTAGAACGGCCAAACTTGGTGACTTTTCCTAGAATATTGTTGGCAACAATTTTCTATCATTGGAATAAGATAATAATTTTTTGTGTTGCCATGGCAACGGGTTTCTGACAGGCATTTTTTGCTAAATTTGTACTTTTTGTTTCAACAATAGAATTTTATGGGTTTTATGTCAAGTTACTCATGGTTTCTAATATTAATAACATCTTATATAATTTTATGTAAATTTTATCA